AGCTGTCAAACTGCCCAGAAAACAGAATCTCATTCAGGGTTTTTTTTTTTTTCCACACCTGCTGAGTATTAACATATTTAATGCGACGAACAGTTAAGGTCATTGACTCATAAACAAAGCAGTACGGTGCAAGAACACGACGAGTAGTAACCAGGAAAATGGTTGCCATGCTTTTCGGAAATTCTTGTAATTTCACGAATTACTGAAATGAAAATTACAGTTCATACATTAACAAATTTATATCAAAGCGAATGAATAAGCAATAAATTTGAGAAATGAAAGTTATACATGGATATATATACATGTAGTTAAAAATCATGAAAAGGTGTTTCATTCCGGAGCAAACAATTATAAACCAAGTCGACGATTAGATCCAGCCCTGTTAGTGTGAGGAAACCGAAGAAGCCTGCTGTATGTCACTCTGATAGTAAGAGACGACTACCTAACATTTGAAGCTATTGGGTATCCTGACAAGAACGATAAAAGAACCGTGATCAGGTTATGGGTCTCTTATTTCTTAACCCTTAATTCTACTTCCTCAATGTACAATGTATCTAGCTCTAGGGCCGGGTCCGTTTTTGTTTATAGTGATACAAACAGTTGAACCGGTTAGACCAGAGTTGTTCGTTTATGAAATAAGGTCGTAACCAGTAATGTGATGCTGCTTTCAGGCGAGCCTGGACTAAGCCTGGACTAAGCCTTGCAAGGCTTACACAAACGTTTGCAGGTCCTCCAGGATTTACATGTATACCCGAAAATTCAACATTTATAAACGGACGTACCGGTTGTTCCGCATACACGATCAGGCCCCATGTTTCTAACAGTGACCATCACATAAGATTGAACGAATATATTAAAAAGAACATCATGCCAGAATGTCCAAGGTCTTTGCTATTAACATCCTATGTAATACACGGGTACGGTATAACTTGTTCCAGTTTTTACTATTCCTATGCGATTTTGATGATAAGTGAATAATACAGACACTTATGTGTATTTTATTAATTCGATATCTGCGTTCATGTTTTTTTTATGGTCACGGAAAGTGAAAACATTTAAGCCGTACGCCTCACGCTGGTGTTATTTCGTTCGCAAGACATTTCAACTATATAATGCATAACAAAAAACCGGTTAAAGGGAAATAAATCCTACACTGGTATGACATTCAGACAAGTTAAAAACGAACGGATCACGCGGAGGGAGAATCCATTTTGGGTGTAAAAGGAGTTTTCCAAAAGAAATATTATCAATCTTTCAAACAGTACTAAGTATTCTTTTGTCCATCAGCTAGAAATGCGTTTTTTGATGCAAGAAAATTAGATGGATCGGTGTTCGACTTCTAGAGCTTTCCTCCATTGTCGCATATACTATTATCAGGGTGGTATTATTAACCGAAACTTGATCCGAACCCCTGGAAGGTGTACCTTAGTTCAGGTCCAAATATAACTATAACAAATACGCAGGTCCCTGTGGAACACATATCCATAACGCTATGTAAAACATCAGAAAGTTAAAGTATGTTTGTGTATGTTATTCAAATTGAACTCTCCTTAAATGCGTTTTCAACGTACAAAAACAAATATATCGGAACATTTAAGAAGAATTCATCTTTTGAAACTAGGTGAGTATAACATGCATATGTACAATGTATAACGTTATAATCTAGATTACAACGTGTTTGATCCATTGGAATTTTTTGAAAGTCGCCGATACATTGGTAAAGTGTCGAGCTATTTTACACAACATACGTAGAGTATGTCTCGAGGATGCATTTTCGTATATTTTCGTAAAAACAACAACATATTAGTTGCTCAATCCTAGGGATAAGTTTTGGTTGTCTACCCAGGACCCTGGTTAGACATAAAAAAACAACTCACCAGTCGATTGCTCTGTCACATCCTCAAGATGGGAATTAAATATATAAGTAAGATTAAAGAGAGATAACTCCAATGTGTCCCAAGTCAACAGATACTATAAGTCATGCAGGCATTAAATCATGTGTACTGTACCTTGTACGGTGTGAAATGTGCTCGGAATTACGAGACAGTCAATAACTAAATCAAAAACTTGAACAAACCACTTCTCAGTTAATGTATACGTCAGGAATGTAATTTGAACGTGGCCAAGGAAACAAGACGTCTCTGTTTAATTAGAGAATGGTAAATGTCGCAGGAAAGTTTTGTAATCATTGTTGAAGAAAAAGGTCAAGGTCATGGGAAAATTCCTGTTATACTATTTATAGAGAACGGTCAAGGTCATATTGATATTCCAGTAAACCCTCATACTATTTTTTTCTGTATGCATACGCATAAAGAACGGAGAAGGAAAATATCGTATTTCATATATGTCATTGTCATTTCGTCTGTGTGATATATGACAAAAAGGAAAAGTTCACGAAATTCTTCTTTGCCATCATTTTAGAAGACGAAAAAAATAACGATGTTGGAGCCCCCGTGTTATTCGCCTCCTTGCTCTGGTTGTGATGCACTAAAATAACTGGTCAGAATTATACAATCTGTATCAAATCACGACGCACGTTTTATACACGTCAAAATCCGAATCAAGCAGTTTAAAGTGTGATACGCTGTTTTTGTGTATTTTTTTGCGCATCTATTTTCAAATCCAATGGTCGCCTGTAATTGCGTTGTTTCGACATTTACATTAAAAAAAACCAACACACACACACACACACACACACACAATTATATGTTTACCTGCTCCGTCCAGGTAAATAAGTATATAGTCATACTAGTGCAAATAAATACAGGTATATGATACCAGACCCGAGCTATGTCTGAAACTATTAATTTCATTATTATAGCATTCTCTAAAGAATTTTCCATAAATGGTGATATCTACTGAATTTGAGTTTTTCTTTGTTTATAGTAAAACATCTGCAACGGATTATACGTTTCAAATGATAAAATATTATTAAAAATAGTCGGAAGTAATATATTGTAGCTTCATACTAATGCACATACACTTTTATTTACACTGTAATTAGTTTCATCCCCTTGATATATGCTCACAGTGACTTTTATACCATATTAACTAATTTTTAAACATTACAGTAGTAGGAAACGAACGTTCGTAAACACTATATTAACAGCTTCTCAAGGATCCGTTTTGGCATTAACGACTTTACATGCAATTAGCTTGTGTCGTGTTGGTTTTTTATTGTTATTTTAGGCCAGATGTCCGCCCTTACTGATGATACTTTTCCTTTCCGTTGTAAACATTAATCAAAGAGAGTTGTGGTAATACATGTAGTAACAGGGCGACATGATATTACCAAGTTAGTATATTTCCACATCGATCTAAAACTGAAAACGATAATAGCTTTGCTCTCTTACCTATGAAACATGTACTTCGTTGTTGTAAGTAGGATAATATTAATCATGAGACACCTTCACTACATTGCTCTGTACACAGACAAGCTTTTTAGGGGCTCCGTGCACAACGAAAGACTAGCTTATATTGGTTGAAATAATAATCATGCAAAAAATATACCAAATGTTTCCTTCATGTACCTCATCAACATACAACAAAACACAACCTGACCTACAAGTTCACACAAGACGTCGGTTAGAACTGGTGCGACATCAAACCGAAAAGCATCCCCGATATCCAGGGGTTACGTTCATTTCACTCCCTACACCCCTGGTATATGTCATAGCAAAGTTGAAGGCAAGCGGCTAGCTATTTGATTGGTCCCAGGTAAAAACAACAACCTGACCAATCACTAGGTTGATACATGTCCTTCGCAGATTACAGAGAAGCGATGTCCGACTTCAAAGCCAGTAAGTTTGACCATTACGCGACCGCAAGTTTATTTTGAAGTACATCAAAGGATCAAACTAGTCCTCTTGTCTCATCCACAAGGAGACGCACACTGAGCCTATACCTTTGCTATGACATATTCCAGGGGTACAGATAGCGAAAGTGAACGTAACCCCTGGATATCGAGGATGACCGAAAAGATAAATATATTGAACCCAATTACAATCCAGAAGGAAACTAGATACTCTGGGTAAGCGTTTCCTGTACCTCACATGCCACACCTCAAGTTATCTTACGACAAATCATAAGGCTTAGAATGCGTAAACATTATGGTAGACATTTAAATTATTAATCGGCGTAATATGGACCCATTCGGGCAGAATTCGGGTGGCTAAGAAGCTTATTGGTCTACAGTACGCATGCATCGAAAATATCCTTATAATTAGAATAAGTTGATGAGCAATTATGATATGTAAACTCCATAAGCCTCGAAGGTTCAAGTATACGTTTTCAATTTGTGTGTCTCAGAATTTCTCGAACGTACTCAACAAAAAAAAAAATATGAGCCGTTAAGTCTTTGAAACGTTTTTTACATATGTCCTTTTACTAGCCAGTACAACTGTTTAAGCTTAACAGAAAGATAAAGCTTGAATGTTTATTACATTGTTAATACGTAGCGGAAATCATAAAGTCGAAAGATTTCAACGTCAAAGTGATTTTTAAAACATTTATTAAATATGAGTTTTAAAATTTCTAAAAACCTGCCAACAGAAATATCTGCGTTAATTTGTCATAATTTTAACAAGACTGGTTACAACCGTGTCTTTGTAATTAATAGAATTCTGCTGCTTGCACACGCTCCCCAGGTGTTCTGTGGTGTCATGAAGAGGTACAATGTAATATTAATAAGTGCTTGTCAACCACAGTGTTATCCACCTGGTAGACTGTCGAGACATTAACGCTACACTTCACAACGTAGGTCTGGGCATGCCATACGATATTACAGGATCTGTGTCGACACCATCCCTGTCTGCTGACGCTGTGTTCGTCCCTGTCTGTTGACGCTGTGTTCGTCCCTGTGTGCTGACGCTGTGTTCGTCCCTGTGTGCTGACGCTGTGTTCGTCCCTGTCTGCTGACGCTGTGTTCGTCCCTGTCTCCTGACGCTGTGATCGTCTCCTGACGCTGTGTTCGTCCCTGTCTGTTGACGCTGTGTTCGTCCCTATCTGCTGACGCTGTGTTCGTCCCTGTCTGCTGACGCTGTGTTCGTTCCTGTCTGTTGACGCTGTGTTCGTCCCTGTCTGCTGACGCTGTGTTCGTCACTGTCTGCTGACGCTGTGTCCGTCAATGTCTGCTGACGCTGTGTCCGTTCCTGTCTGCTGACGCTATGTTCGTCCCTGTCTGCTGACGCTATGCTCGCCCCTGTCTGCTGACGCTGTGTTCGTCTCTGTCTGCTGACCCTGTGTTCGTCACTGTCTGCTGACGCTGTGTCCGTCCAGGTCTGTTGACGCTGTGCCTGTCCCTGTCTGCTGACGCTGTTTCCGTCCAGGTCTGTTGACGCTGTGTCCGTCTCTGTCTTCTGACGCTGTGTCCGTCCCTGTCTGCTGACGCTGTGTTCGTCACTGTATGCTGACGCTGTGTCTGTCCCTGTCTGTTGACGCTGTGGCCGTCCCTGTCTGCTGACGCTGTGTTCGTCTCTGTCTGCTGACGCTGTATTCGTCCCTGTCTGCTGACGCTGTGTTCGTCCCTGTCTGCTGACGCTGTGTTCGTCACTGTCTGCTGACGCTGTGCCCGCTGCTGACGCTATGTTCGTCCCTCGTCCCTGTCTGTTGACGCTGTGTTCGTCACTCTGTCTGCTAACGCTGATTCCATCCTGTCTGCCGACGCTATGATCGTCACTGTCTGCTAACGCTGTGCCCGTCCCTGTCTGCTGACGCTGTGTTCGTCCCTGTCTGCTGACGCTATGTTCGTCCCTGTCTGCTGACGCTATGTTCGTCCCTGTCTGCTGACGCTGTGTTCGTCTCTGTCTGCTGACGCTGTGTTCGTCAATGTCTGCTTACGCTGTGTTCGTCCCTGTCTGCTGACGCTGTGTCCGTCCAGGTCTGTTGACGCTGTGCCCGTCCCTGTCTGCTGACGCTGTTTCCGTCCCTGTCTGTTGACGCTGTGTCCGTCTCTGTCTTCTGACGCTGTGTTCGTCCCTATCTGCTGACGCTATGTTCGTCCCTGTCTGCTGACGCTGTGTGCGTCTCTGTCTGCTGACGCTGTGTTCGTCATTGTCTGCTGACGCTGTGCTCGTCCCTGTCTGCTGACGCTGTGTCCGTCCAGGTCTGTTGACGCTGTGCCCGTCCCTGTCTGCTGACGCTGTTTCCGTCCAGGTCTGTTGACGCTGTGTCCGTCTCTGTCTGCTGACGCTGTGTTCGTCTCTGTCTGCTGACGCTGTGTTCGTACCTGTCTGCTGACGCTGTGTTCGTCACTGTCTGCTGACGCTGTGCCCGTCTCTGTCTGCTGACGCTGTGTCCGTTCCTGTCTGTTGACGCTGTGTTCGTCACTCTGTCTGCTAACGCTGAGTCCATCCTGTCTGCCGACGCTATGATCGTCACTGTCTGCTGACGCTGTGCCCGTCCCTGTGTGCTGACGTTGTGTTCGTCCCTGTTTGCTGACGCTGTGTTCGTTCCTGTCTGCTGACGCTATGTTCGTCTCTGGCTGCTGACTCTGTGTTCGTCCCTGTCTGTTGACGCTGTGTTCGTCCCTGTCTGCTGACGCTGTGTTCGTCAATGTCTGCTGACGCTGTGTTCGTCACTGTCTGCTGACGCTGAGTCCTTTCTGTCTGCTGACGCTGTATCCGTCCCCGTCTGCTGACGCTGTGCCCGTCCCTGTCTGCTGACTCTGTGTTCGTCACTTTCTGCTGACGCTGAGTCTGTCCCTGTCTGCTGACGCTGTATCCGTCCCTGTCTGCTGACGCTGTGCCCGTCCCTGTCTGCTGACGATGTGTTCGTCCCTGTCTGCTGACGCTGTGTCCGTCCCTGTCTGCTGACGCTGTGATATGTTTTCTTTAACGTTTTATCAAATATAAACTATCTCATTTGCTTCTCGTTTAATGTCTTTATTCATTTGTCAAATTTATAAATCTATAAATCGTTCTTAGTCCGCAAGGATTTACTATTGTTACATGTATAATATATACAATGAAGATATAAATTTATCTTATCTTACATGTTTGAGATTTTTAATTCACCCACACCTGCCGGTGAGGGGAAAGAACATGTCTGCTGTTTTCCACTGCAATTTGTTAAAGGTGACTAATATAAGGCCCCTGCAGATTTGGTGTCTTTAATCTTTGTCTTCTGCTGAGGCGACATTGAGGAGACCAAAGTTGATCTGCTGCCCCCCATTGCAACATTTAGGATCTTTATATTATATCTCTATTTCCTAAAGGCTTTTTGTTTCCTAATGCCTTCCTTGACAAAATCTCACGTTTGGCCTTAGCGGTGATTGAGGCAATGTTTAAAGGCAGCAATGGATGAAGTCATTGCGCTCTGTCTCCTGGCCGGGACATACCAATGTCCTTAAGAATGGTAGATGCTATTCCTTGCGTAACGCTCAGCATTAAGGGTGATCGCAATGACTGGTTCACCCGTTGTCAGTATAATGTACCAGGTGGAATACTATGCTGAGAACCTTCGGCATAGTATTTCAGTGAGGTTGAACTACAAAGCCGGCATCAGATCTGCGCTATTACAAGGAGACATACACCAACATACCCTGCTCCCAAAACATACTGTCACATGCATGCACACTTTACACAATAGAGGCACGTCCTTAAATGACCTTGGCTGTTTATAAGACGTGCAATCTTAAAACATGAAACCAAATCTACTTAATCACTGAAAGAAATGATAAATAAAACCATGCAGGTCCTGTTCACTACATTTACTAGTGCACGTGACCTGCATGTTTATTATCCCTGATACAGTAGTTTCCTTTGTAGCATAGTGTTGTCATCGTTTGTTTGCGTCGTGGCCTATTGTTGTTTTTCTTGTGTGTTTGCATCTCTGTTTATTGTTTTTGTTGTGCGTTGACACTGTGGTAATGCATAACTACTTTGTCATAGTGTTAACGTTTTGGTGTTTTCCATTAATGAATATGTTTGTTTATATTATGTCGTTAGATTTGTTTCTGTTATATATAAATATTGTTAAGCTAAATAAATTAAGTGCGTATCTCGTTTTACTTATTTGTGTTTTCCATTAAAACAAGCTCGTGGGGTTGCTACGTGTGGTGCAGGGAACACACTGTCTTCTAGAGCACCAGGTTTATTTACCTCCTGGTCAGCTGATATCAGGGTAGGAACGCCTGGTCAGCTGATATCGGAGTTCATTACATACTTACTAATAAATACAGCTCTGACCCATATCAGCCCCCGCCATATCACACTAAAAAAACGTATCAGCCCTCTCTATATCAGCCCCCAAAACCCGTATCAGCCCTCTATATATCCGCCCCAAAAACCCGTAAAACACCCCTTTTGGAACACTCTAATTTTTCACATCTTTCAAAAGAAAAATAGATCATAAGGCCCTCGGGCTGATATTGGAGTCACGGGTTGATACTGGGTGTGATTGTGAAAAAAGCATGTAATATTCTCTATATAAACCTCTGGTCAGCAGTTGTCGGAAGAAACCATTTAGAATTTAGTATGTCAAAGCAGATTAAACATCTCCTCTACCATATGACCATTTTTCCATATAGGTCGAACAAAACGTACCACAATGTTGCAACTTCATATCTAAGGCGTCCGAAATAACCTTAAATACATTAAATGTTTAACTAAAGCTAATATTTTGAGCCAATTACATGCATATATCTTTGAACTGTTGACCCATTGTGTTTAAGTTATATATATATATTCTCACGATATCTGCCCTTACGATGTGAAGATTGTATGCAGTAATGAGTGTACACCGTTGGCACGTTTGTGACACAACTGCGGTTTGGATATCAACCTGACAATATACAGGCGTGGTGCAGACTCGCTGTTTTGTACTCTGAACTATGAACAACTTGGTTGATGTCACAGTAATATATCAGCACGATAAATAGGCGTGGCTCATACATGTAGCACGTCTCCAGGTAGACATACGTAATCATCTGTGCAGTGAGTGTGATAATTACATTATAATGCCCTTAAAGTGATCGCGTGGTTAAACAATATGCTATATTATATTTTCTCTCAGGTTTCTGTGTGTCCCTCCTGTTTACTGCGACTGACTTTGACGACAAACTTTGTCCCTCTGGTTTGATAATACGAACCCTTTTTTTCGTCATACGTAGAAATACATTTACATCATATTGAAAGCTTATTAAACGAGATAGGAGCAAGTCAGCTGGCAATATATTATGATATTGGTTATGTGATTAATAAAATGTCAGGAAACACAATTTTCTTTACAAAGAAGACGTATTCATTATGAATAATATTCATTTATCGATTTTCAACATTATTTTAATTCAACTGGATTTCATAAATTGTTAATGTTCTTTGAAGCTTTCAAATGTATTTTTTAAAATCCGTATTTTTGTTTACGCATCTCTTTATAAGTTATAAGGACATAATTGTTTTTTGTTTTATTTTAAGTATATCATGTCAAGCGAACTAAGGAAAAGTTTAATGAAGCATCATATAGGTTGTTATACTGAATATCGCCGTACAACATAGCATCGATTTTGACGTCATAATAGTAACACTCGCGGGATACCATGCGGATGGAAGTTTAAAGCAACAATATTTGAAGCCAAAATGGAACAAAAATATATCGATTTATAACATTTATAAAGTTTAAATTCATAAGGAGTTTTTTTTAAATTGTAAGTGTTTGTGATACTTTTTTATCTTTCTTTTATCATTCATGAGGTCATAACAATATTGGCTTTCTGGACATATTCCATGAATCGCGCTAGCGATTTATTTTAAATATATCCAGAAATCCAATGCTGTTACATGTATTACCTCATAAATGTTGAAAAAATAAATTTATATTTTTAAGCGCTTTAAATATTCGAATGCAAACAAAAATCCTAGCAACAGCATGATAACAAAACAAACAAATTATAGTTACTTTTTCCTTTAATTTGCAGAATTTAAACAAGTTGTTTATTATCATCGTATTCTTTACACACATTATTTAAGCATTAAAATCATGTTTGACATTAATTCATATTAGCATACCAAAACTACATCGAGAGCTGTTCCACGGCGGACGTCAACCAAATACGTCATGTGCTTTGTCATTTTAGTATATAAATACGTAGTGATGAGGTCACACGTGATATGCAAAAATATTTACATATCTCCCTTCTTCAGTTTAGTAAACTCTTACTGCGTATACATTAGTGTTTACGCAATGACAAAGGCTCGGTGGATTGATATCTGTTTTTATGATGGCGCCGTTCACGCTTCAGTGCGATAACTGTTCGATGACAGCCATTGTTTGGTTCCTATTTGAGATCCATTATGTTTGATTATGCAACAAAGGGGTGCTGGCAAACTTCTTATTCCATGGCTGACATTACAAATTCTTTGACGCTTAAGCAAACAATGGTCGCTTCCTTTAACGACGTTCGACCGCGTCACTATCAGAACAATGTGCCAATGGGTGTACATATCGACCGTTATAGATGAATAAATATGTTCGAAGTGCTACTAACATTACTTAATTAATCATTCACCAGCGATGAAAAGAAGAAAATAGTGTTATTCAATGCGTATTTTTCAAATTTACCAATATATCGATGTAGATTTACTAGAACTATATATATATTATCCTAGCAACGACGGCTAACGTAGTTACCATTGTAGCAACCCGCTTCGTATTTTTTTCTTTGTATAGCACTTAAACATTATTTATGGTTTAAATATAAGGATTGACCTGTAATTTGACGGCTAACGCGCACCATAGAATATGTTCGTTGCCAACTTAGTTCATACTACCGTATACGTACACGCCGTCAAAATGCAGATCAATCCTTAAATGAATGTCATTTGCGTCAATGGGTCAACCCATACAGAATGTAATAATTAGATTTTGAACAGATATTTGTTGAATAAAACGTGACTTCAGTCATATCGCCCACTGCTTTAATGTTCGAGAATTTAGAGCGAATTGTAAGAATAATGTTATGTCACAAAAAAAACCACTAGGCAGACAGTGTAGTAATCTTCTTATCATTCTTACTTTCAAGCAAAGGGTACATACCGTATACGTATCAGACTAATTTGCATACTTTTTCGAAAATTATATTGGAGGTTGTTACCTCACTTTGATCAAGATCTATTGGTAAAACATTGGTATTCCCATTATACTAGTATAGGAAAAGTTGATGTTGCCACTTTTAACAAACGTTATAAATGTATTACTTAGTTTGCCATCAAATGTGAATTTATACAAACAAAACTGAATTTTGTTTTCTTTATTATCTTACTCATACCATTGTTTTTAGTACTTTTATTATAACTCATATCATTTTTTTCGCTACTATGATTATCTTACTCTTATAATGTTTTCGATACTTTTATTATCTAACGCCTATCATTTTTTCGCCACTGTAATGATCTTAGTCATATATTCAGTACTTTAAACATCTTGCATATATCATTGTTGAATTCTAATTATAACATAGTTAGACGTGAATGCAGTTAGTATAAACCATATTTTATTTCGTAAATTTGCAATTACAATATATAGGACATTTAATTATTACAAACATGAAATAGGATCCAGAAACAACTTATTAAACTTATATCAATCTGTTTCCTTAGCAGAAATAATAATGGATAACAGAGACTTGGAGTAGAAGAAAGAGGAGAATAAATAGGAAGAGAAGAAAGAACAGCATTTACCAATGAACAAAACGTTAACCTATGTAAATGTCACTGATGTCATAACGGATATATAAGAGTGGAATGATGTTCAGTAAAAATACTGAAAAACATGCTGTACACAACTGAAAATTCATTGTTGTACATTAAGCATAATCTGCAATGCAAATAAGTCAAAGGAGATGACGGTAAATGCACATTATATTTTGTTCATAGCTCATTGCTGAGTCAGCGCTCAGTTTTCATAGCCGTTACATGTCTGCTGTCGTGATGACGTAGACAGTTTACGATGACGTGTATATTATATTCATAATCACACATGATTTGTGCGTTTCTATGGTGACAGATGTTATCTATGTACATCTCTATAACATTCAAATGGGCATTAAGATGTCTGTAAATGATTAATGTTAGCATAATTTATGTCTGTTGAATATAAAGCATTATAATATTATTAGATAGTATGGCTGATACAATCTTAAGGGTTACTGTCCAACTGCCGTCAAAATAAATTCTTTTCTAGCATATAAATCCCTAACAAATCGTCGTAAAGAAATATTTGTTATTCTTAATATTATGTGATTATCTTTATCGCTTTAACAAGCTTTAACAAAACAGTTGTTAAAAAAGTGATTAACAAAAGAATTTTCTAACTAAATAGTTGTATAATTTTAATTAGTTATGGTTGATCATTTGTGATTCGATGGAGTGTATATATTTTGTTTATACAGCAAATGTTGCACTAAATCTATGCCACGTACTACTGTAAAATAATAAGTGTATGCTATCAGTTTATTTGGTACATACGATGATAGTCTAGGCATTTGGCAGTCGACCTAATATTTGCGATAGTTTATGGTCGTGTATCGGTAGTGGGTGGAAGCAGGTTATACCTTCTTTA